TTGTGTGAGTTATTTTTAAAATCTAATTTTAATATCAGCTCATTATATAATTTTTTAAAGTCACACAATATTTAAATCTATACACTTACTTCAAGAATATTTTTCCTTATTCGTGTGGAGACATGGAAATACTCCATTGTGTTGTCTATGTATTTAGTATTGTTAACTTTATGTAGTCAGGAGCTGTGTCTGCTTTTTTTATTTTTATTTTAGGGAAAGGTCTACAGGGTGTTCAGGGTCTCACTACTAGATTGGACTCATAGTGATCCTCCTCTTTACAGCCTCCCTAGTGCTGGGATTACAGGCGCACGCCACCATGCTCAGTCTCAGCATGGCTGGGGTGGTGGGGCAGGCCCCGGGGATCAAATTTTCAGCCCCTGCACCTGCTTGCAGGTGCTTTAATCTGCTGAGCTGTTTGGCCGGCCCTTATGACTGCTTTTTAATCACTGCATATCCCTGGTACTGAGACCAGTGCCTGGAAAATCCATACAGATTAAATGGAGGTATACACAGTGAATGTCTGTGTGCGCATTTGACTTGAAGCTTTTGTCCTGTGTTATCGTTTATTTACTAATGCATGTTTGTGGTACATAATACATTCCTCCTGTGAAGTTAGTACATGTATGTAACACATCTTAATTTCACTTTTTATACCCTTCCCCACCACACTGTATTTCTTCCATCTCTTGCTTCCCCTGCTCTTTACAAAGATCTGTGTCTGTTTCCTAGTATGTATCTTTTATTTTGCTTTTAAACTAACTAATTAATTAATTTAAAATGTATTTGGTATAGGGTCTCACTGGCAGCTCGAACTTGTAATGATCCTCCTGTTTTCAGCCTCCCTGCACTGGGATTACAGGCAGGAGCCACCATGCCTGGACTTGGTGGCCAGCATAGGGTGCCTAGGAGCAGGGCCAGCATGTGGTGCCAGGGATCAAACGAAAGTCCCTGTGCTTGCCTAAGTAGGTGCTTAGTCTGCTGAGCTATCTTGCCAGCCCTTTAAATTTATTTATACTTTGGGTTTGTCATATTGGATAAACCATGTAACATTTAAGTCTGTGTGTCTGATATATTTCACTTAACATTACAATTGAAGGTGCATCCGTTTTCCTACAAACGACTCAAATTTATCCTTCTTTATAACACTGGTACTCATGTGTAAATACCACATTTTCTTTATCCATTCATTTGTTTGTGGCATACAAGTTGATTTCAAGAGTTGTTCTGCTATAAACGTGGGAATGTGTGTACTGCGTCACTGTAGTATTTTTTAATGCTTGGGAAGATACCTACAAGGAGAGTAGCATTTCTGGTCGAATGGCGTTTCTAGTTTTCGCTTTTTGAGGCCTCTCCACATTGATTTTTGTAGTGGTTGCGTCAGGGTACATTTCCACTAAAGGTATAGCAGAGTTTTTTATTATTGTTGTTCCCCTCACATCCTTTTCAGGATGTGTTACTGATTTCTTGATGATGGCCATTTTCCCCCCTGAGGTGAGATGAAATCTCTGTTGTTTTCATTTGTATTTCTTTAATGGCCAATGGTGTTAAGCATTTTTTCATGTATTTATCGACCATGTGCACTTCTATTATGAAGAATTTGTTTTGCTTGCCTCTTTTTTCTTTTTACTTTAAAATGTTTATTCTTTAAAAATTTAACTTCTTTTTATACAGTTATACAAAGTTCTTAATGTTTCTTTGGCAATGGAATATAACGGAATTACACAAATATATATAAAAAAAGTTACCTTTGTTTAAGAGGTAGCATTTACTGTGTATACATAGTTGATTGACAAAATTCTCTACCATCCAGCTCCCTAATTGATGAAATAAGCTACCTCACATAGGATTTCCAAAAAAGAAGAGAAAGACACACAGACACACATGTACGCATGTACATGTGCACGCACGCACGCACGTGCACGCACACACACACATCCTTTTGTGGCCCAAAACACACTATCAGGGTCCTTCTCAAAAATTTTTTTTAAGTCTTTATCAAAATTGCCAAATACAGTTTAGTGATTAAAAACCCTCTCACTGATGAAAAATACTTGTTTTACTGAAGTATTGCTTTAGTTTAACTACACATAAGAAATTAACCTTCTGCTATTCCACATACATGTAATGCTCGTTTCTATAGATAACCTTTCTTTAACCACAACAGTAACTTAGTTGTATCTTTGAAATTAATTGGAAAAATAAATACCCAGTATGTTCAGAACCATGAGGAGCTACAAATTTACCCATTTGCAAAGACTTGTTTGAAGACTGTGGAGGAACTTTATATTCAAAATCTGCCAAGTCCCTTCCTCCATGACTTCCTCAGAAACTACCATGAAGTTCCTGAGGAGTAGTAAAGGTACTACCTCTGCCACTACCACATCCTCTGCCACTGTGGAAATCAAGACCTCCTCTGTACTCGCTCTCTCCTCTGTACCCTCTGACCATCCTCTATGGCCACAGTTTGGATGGAGTGGAATTTTGAAAGTTTCAGCGTTTAATCAGCTTTCTTCAGCCCAGGTTGGTCTCTGTTCTGCCTTGTCATCACAAGAAATATTGTCAAAGAAGGATTTAGTTTCATCATAGTAGCAGTTAGGTCCAAGTGGGTTTTCTTCAACAGTATTTCCTTCACTGTTTTGGGTATCAACTCCAGAGTCTCTCAAATCTTCACCATTTACAGGTTTTTCATGTTTCTCAAGTTTATCTTCTTTTAAGTTTACTATGAAATTCTCTGTCATTCTTCTCTTTGTTAAATTGTGCTTTTGCACTTTCTAAGTTAGAAGTCTTTCTCAAATTTTATTGGACCATCTCTCCAGCTACCTCATGCCCCCCATGCCCTCTCCTTTGAGTTGAAGGAGCACTTTGAACTATTTGTCTCTTGCTATCGTTTCTGGGAAGCTCATTTTCTGGCCTTGAAACTTTGTGTACTTCAGCTTGCCTGTGCTCTTGATTCTCTATTGCTTTTTGACTAGTAGATGACAAAGGTCTGGTTGGTACAGGAGGGCTCCTTCTCCCTGCAGGTGCTGGAGCAGGTAAGTGAGCCAAGGCGGTCTGTACTGCTTGCTCCATGGTTGGATGTTTTCTGCAGAGGTTCTAACTGAGGGCTTGGATGACCTTGAAAAGGCAGATCCAACTGAACTGCTTTGGGATAAGGTACCGCTGTTTGGTGTTTTTTGTTTTTTTTTAACTTATAATTTTTGTTTGTTTTATTTATTTATTTATTTATTTATTTATTTTAAGATGACTATAAAATTTGGCCAGTGTTTAACTGACCTAACTTTTATTTATTTATTTTCTTCTTTTTCCCATAATTTTATTGAGAAACAAATAGCATTGAGACAGTTTCAAATCAAATTGGTAGGACAGTTCAGTAATTAACACATTGCATACATTCTTCCTAGTGGTTAATTGCTGTACAAGATGTGGACATGATATCCTATTTACAAACACCATTAGAACAAATCCCTCTATTCATTAAGAGACTGTAACTATGTATCTATCCCAGCCACTTTGAATGCACAGATACAAAATGGACATTCATCTGTATCCCCTTTTTTTTTGTTAAGTTCCGTTATTTGAATATTATAGGTGTGTAAACTCAGCAAAATATTTTAAAAGAGTCTAGTAGCCCATAATAGTATTGGGTCTTCCGCTTGACTGGCAATGTCAGAAATGTTTGGTGTTTTTGATCCAAAGGATGTCAAGGAGCTTCCAGCCATCAAAACCACTGCACAACCAATGAGCTTGTACTGAACTGGCTGTGTTGGCATCCTGCCAAAAGGTCCATAGGCACCCACGGACTGGAATGAAGAATTAGGTGAACCTAATGAAGACTGAACAATAGCTGGGTGCTGAGGCAAAGAACACTAAGTTTTGGCAGCTCAAGAACTGTCATTCTTCTCTTTGTTAAATTGTGCTTTTGCACTTTCTAAGTTAGAAGTGTTTCTCAAATTTTATTGGGACATCTCTCCAGCTACCTCATGCCCCCCCCCACTTTTTTTACTTATAATTTTACTTATAATGGTGTCTTTAATATTACTCCCACAGAATAGAAAGTATTCAGGGCCAGCGAGATAGCTCAGTGGACTAAGTGCTTAGGCAAGTGCAGGAATTCCCTGGCACCCTATGCTGTGCCATCTCCGCCTTCAGGCACACTGAACCAAGACCAGGTGGCACACGCCTATAATTCCAGTGCTGGGGAGGCTGAAAACAGGCGGATCACTATGAGTCTGAGCTGTGTAGTGAGATCCTGTACCAAATACATTAAAAAAAATCTGTCTATCTATGCATCCCAAAGACTTCCTTCTCCAGGTAGTATTGGACGATCTGTTGGCCTGTCTTCTGTACCAAAGGATTGAACTTTGGCGGGGGCTGTGGTGGACTTCTCAGTGTCAGTGGTGTAGGAGATGTCTTCATAGCAGATCTCTGCCTTAGAAATGAGGTTGATCTTGCTGACAATGTAAGGAGTGTGTGCCCCCCTCTCCCATCCATGGCATCATCATAGAGAGGCAGATCCCTTGCTGCTGTCACTGCTCTGCCTGCCTGCCACTCAGCATGCCAGTACAGTAGCTGCCTGCACCTAACGTGGCTTCGTTGTTGGCTGCCGCTTGACTAGTTTTTGATTGGGTCTTTTATTTTGAGGGTTCTAATTTTTTTTTCTTGGAGTTATTTATATAGTCTAGGTTATTAGTCCTCTGAGTGAGGAATGGCTGGCAATTTATTTCCCATTCTGTAAGTTGTCTTTTCAGTGTGTTGGTTTCTTTTGTTTTGCAGAAGCTTTGTAATTTGTTATGATCTCATTTCAGCTTGTATCCAGAAACAGAGGATATCTTTCCATTTTCTGATGGATGGCCTTTTTGGTGTCTTTTTTCAGAGAGCTGTAGCTTTCATTGTAGTGGTCTTTCATTTCCTTAGGTTAATTCCTATTTAATTTTTTTCTTTTTTTAAGTTACTTTAATTTTATTTTGCATAGTAAAAACAAAAGGAAAAAGAAATAGTGAAAAAATATGGAACACTTTATGGATTTGCATGTTATGCTTGTGTAGGGGCCATGCTAATCTTGTCTGTATTGTTCCAATTTTAGTATATGTGCTGCTGAAGTGAGCACCCTATTTAATTTCTATTGGTGCTGTTTTGAATTTTTTTCCTTAAGTTTTTTCTCAGTAGGTTTATTATTAGTGTACAAGAATGGTGTTAATTTTTGCATGTTGTTTCTGTATCCTACTACATTACTGAATATAGTCTGAGGGTCTTTTGGTAGACTTCTTGGGGTTTTTTGTATAGAGGATCATGTCACCTGCAAGTAATGATAATTTAACTTGTTCCTTTCCTGTATATACTCTTTTCCTTTTCTTGCCTAACTGCTTTTGCTAATGTTTTGAGTACGATTTTGAATAGGGTAGTGGGAATAGTGTCCATCTTGGTCTTTTTTCTGATTTTAGAGAAAAAATGTCCAGTGTTTTCCCATTTAATATGATGTTTGCAGTAAGTTTGTCATAAGTAGTTTTTATCAGATCGAGGTAAGATTTTTCTATACCTATTTTCTTCAGTTTTTTTTTTTTTATCATGAAAGGATGTTGGATTTTGTCAATGGCTTTTTCTACATCTATTGAGATAATGATGTGATTTTTGTCTTTGCTTTTGTTTATGTCTGTCCTACCAGGTACTTTTTATTAATTTTGTTAGTTCATTGGGCAGCTTTTTATTAATTTTATTAGTAAAAAGATGGATAAACGTGATTAAATCCATTTGTAACACCGGTGATACAAGCTGCCTGATGGGACAATCATGCCAGTGGGAATGTGTTCAGGAGTTTGAGGAGTATTGTTGTTAGATCTTCCTTAAAGTTTTTGTAGGATTCAGCAGTGAATGTATATAAACCTGGACTTTTCTTAGTTGGCAGGTTTTTACTACTAGTTTAGTTTCATTGCCTATTATTGGATTATGCAGGGTTTTATATATTTTTGGTTTAATTTTGGTAATTCATATTTATCTAGGAATCCATTTCTTCTGAATAGATAAAGTTTATTGGCATATAGGTTTTGCAGAGTAGTTGTTCTGGAAGTATCCATTGTGATTTCAAGTTTTACTTTCTAATTGTATTGATTTGGGTCTTTTTTTTTTTTTTTTTTGCGGAACCGGGGATTGAACTCAGATCCTTGCTTTTGCCAGTCAAGTGCTTATCCTACTGAGCCATCTCCCCGGCCCTTGATTTGGGTCTTTTCTCTCCTTTTTTGGTAAATTGGCTGAGAATTTGTTTATTCTTTCGAAGAACTCTGATGCATTGATTGTATTGCTTTTTGGTCTTAATTTCATTGATTACTACTCTGATCTTTATAATTGCCTTGCTTGTACTAGCTTTGGCTTTGAATTGTTCTTGTTTTTATAGGACCTTGAAGGTATATTGTTAGGTTACTTATTTGGGTTCACTCTATTTTTGTGAGGTGTGGGCATTCATGGATATAAACTTATCTCTTAGAACTGCTTTTATGTGTCCCATAAGTTTCAGTATGTTGTATTGGCATTATCAGTTAGCTCTAGAAACTGTCTAATTTCTTCCTTTGTTTTGTACCTTATTTATCTGAGTGTATTGTTTAGTTTCTGTGTATTTGTATAGTTTCTACATTTTCTTTTGTCATTGATTTCTAGTTTCATCATGCTGTGGTGTAATATTCATGGTATACTTTCAGTTCTTTTACATTTACATAAGCTTGTTTTCTTGGTGCATATGGTCTATTTTGGAGAAAGTTCCATGTGCAACTGAGAGGAATGTATATTTAGTTGGATGGAATACTCCGTAGATACCTGTTAAGTCCATTTGCTTGAAAATTTATTCAACTCTGATACTTCTTTGTTGATTTTTTTTTTTTGTCTTGTTGATCTTTTTGTGATAGTGGGCTATTGAGGTTCCCTATGTTTATATATATTAGATCTTTTATGTCCAGTCATATTTATTTTATAAAGTTGGGTGTGCCACTGTTGGGTGCATATACATTTATAATAGTCTTTTCCCATTGGATTCCTTAACCATTCTGTGGCGACCTTCTTTGCCTCTTTTGCTCAGTTTTTGACTTGAAATCTGCCTGCTTTTTCTCAGGTTCCTATTGCATGGAATATTGTTTTCTGTCTTTTTTTAGTCTATGAGGTTTTTTTTTCCCTATAATTTAAGACAGGGTCTGTGGGGTCTACAGGGTCTTACTATGTAGATTGGATTCATTGTGATTCTCCTGTGTTCAGCCTCCCAAGTGCTGGGATTACAAAGGTGCTGCCACCACGCCAGTCTCAATCACTGTCTCAGCGCGCCCTGGGGCAGGGCCGGCATGGCACACTGGGGATCGAAACCAGGCTGCTGCACTCTGCCTATGCAGGCACTTTAGTCTGCTGAGCTATCAGGCCGGCCCAGAGTTTCTGTTTTAGGTTAATTATGTTTCTTTTGTCCGTCATACCTTGGATTTTGTTTCTTGATTCATTCTCCCAGTCTGTGTCGTGTCATGTCTTGTCTTTTCTTTTTTGTGTCTTTTAATTGGAGAATTGAGATCATTCACATTGAGAGTTATTATTGACAAGTGTTGACTTTTTCTGTCATTGTCTTATTTTCCTGTTGAGATTCCTTATCTTTTCCCTTCTTCTTAGTTCTTCTAGGCCTTTTGCCATTCATTGTTAGCTTCAGAATCTCTAGAATATCCTTGAGAATTTTTGGACTGCTGTTTTAGTAGTTACGAATTTCTTAGATACTATTAATCATGAAAATATTTTATATTTCTTCAACAATTTTCAAGATAGCTTTGCAGGATGTATCAAAGTGGGTTGGAAATTGTTGTTTTGAGGGGTTTAAAGCATTTCACTACAGGTTTTTTTGGCCTTTAAGGGTTATGTTTAGAAGTCTGTCGCAATTCTAATGTAATTATTCATAAGTGATTTGTTGCTTTTCTCTAACTGCTTTTAAGATTCTATGCTTGTGCTGGACTTCTGGGATTTTTACTCTGATGGATTGTGGAGAGGTTTTTGTCTGATGGTGGATATTTAGGGTTTTTTATTCCAGATATATGTATATTAAATTCTTTTCCAACATTAGGAAAGTTTCCTGTTACCAGTTCAATACATTAGTCTTATGCAATTTGTGCTGTCTTCTGAGTTTTTGCTGATTTTGTTTTCTTGACAAGGTCTTGCTTTGTAGTTCAGGCTTGTATTGAGCTCACTGTGTAGCTCAGAATAGCCTTGAATTTATGCAGTCTTCCTGCTTCAGTCTCCCAAGTACTGGGATTACAGATGTGCACTACCATAACCAGCAAGTTTTTACTAATTCCTATTTTTTTAAATACATAGGGTTTTTTTTTGTTTTTTTGTTTGTTTTTTGGCGGAACCGGGGGTTGAACTCAGGCCCTTGCGCTTGCCAGGGAAGCGCTTATTTCACTGAGCCATCTCCCCGGCCCTGCTGATTCCTATTAATCTTAGTCTTTGTGCTATTTCAGAGCTGTTGGATCCATTTTTTATAGTCTCTTTGTTTTGAAGATATCTCTTAATAATTGGTCACTGGCAACAGACTGTCATTCTAGTTCTGACACTCTGTCCTCACCTTGGGCACTTCTGCTGAACATATTTTCAGTAGAATTTTTAATCTTTTTAATCTGAATTTCTAGTTGAAGCCTTTTGATGGGCTGTAATTCTCTGCTAAGTTAGTCATTCATGTTTT